AGTGGAAGGAAGCTGGTACAGCAACAGTCAGATTCTCTGACCCTCTGGCCTACCGAAATTGTAGAAAAGATACCACAATATCTGTATCGTCAAGGGATGCAATAAACGAAGTAACGAAAGTTGTTGGCAATAGCACAATGCTGTAGGTATATTGGGCTTGCAAGCTGAACATCTCGCTCTGATCTGGAGACAGAGCACTTGACAAAGCTGAAAACAGAAGCTTAAGGCGATAGAAATGAAGACTTAAAGATTAATATTGGTAATGAAGTGATACGAGATGGTGTAAAATGCTGCTGTAAAAATGAGATTAAAATATTCGACTGAAGTGCCCGAGTGACTGTAAACAAGGCATTTAAGAAAGTGAGGCCATTGCCAAGGAATGCTCAATAGTCGTCTTGGGAACTGAATATAGAACTTAGTGCCTGATAACGCGCGGTCGCGAGAACACTTTCGGCATAAGATGTTAAATCTCACTAGAACTGACATGGCATCGAAAGGACTGAAGAGTGAGCATGCATTTATTTGATCCAGGTGAAACGCTTGTACAGCACGCAAAGTCGCCTTCGATGCAATGCTGTAAGAAGATTGATGCCGACAAAGGGGGAAAAACTTGCTACGAAAGCAGACGATTATAAGTCAAAGATGAAAGTTCATACAACTGCAACGAGTATCACAAACTACGACAATACACGACCATCAATAAGAATGTGCGACACACTGAAGAAAATACGTAGCTTGTGAAAATCTCGGGTCGTTAACACAGTTTCGATCGATTTTACCATCAACAAAAAACCACAATATAAGCACGGCCATATCGCTCATTAAAATGCATAAGCCATCCCAACCGCTAACGCTCATCGTTTCATTTGCGGAAATTGCTTTTCCATTGAAGCAAACAATCGATCTCATTCTAGACCCTTCTAATCTGTGCATTGACTGGGTAAATAGTACTGGAGAAGACTTCATCAATAAACTCAGACGCACTATCCCTTACCCTGACGGCTTATTCAAAGTGGTTAAATTTTGTTAAGGGCCTTTTCAAAAATTTGTCAGCTAACAGAGTCCTTTCCATTGCATCAAAAATAGTGGAAAACACCGAACACATCTAGGGATAAAAGGAGACTCAAGGAACTGTCTGATTCAGAAACCTAGAAGGTTTTTAGGGTAACACTTTCAAAAATTTGCTGTGAATACGACAAAAACTTCTATCGTCAATGGGACTGCTATGGGATCTCCTTTCAACACCACCGTTGAGAAAAGTTTTATGGATAACTCTTAATCCCCCGAATTACGCTTTAAAGATCTTTCCCTAATTGTAACGTCAACTTACATAATTTAGCTTCTGCGTTCTAATCTAATTTCTTTCATTTTTTTGTTTCTTTTATGTCATTCTTCTCATTGTCATTCTCTATCGAATATATCTCTTTTTACCATCATTCATGAATATAATCCATGCACACGCACCCGTTTCCTTTCACCTCCTTTCCTTGATTATGTCGTATATTTCCGTTACAATGTTTCAATTATTTACCTGCCGTTCTTTGTTATTTGTAACTACAATACTTTCTCTGCAAATGAATAATTTTTACTGAAAGAATAACGTTGTGACTTTCGAAAGCTATCGTTAATAAAACATTTTCCCATGCTTTCAACCGTGTTTTATTAATCTGTTATCATTAAAAGCCTGTTTATATCTTTTCGAACTATCACAATCTATTACTGGTAATAGAATTTACGTCGACGTTCTGGATCAGGAAAAGCTAACAGCGTGATATGCGAATAACGAGAAAAAGGAAACAATTTTATTTTAGTATCACATGAATTGAATATGACTGCTTTTGTCGTGTGCGCTTTCGACGGCGTCCATGAAACAAGTGGAATACTGTACCTCACTGCTGCATGCAACAAGTGATCGGTCAAAATATGTGAAAGGGTCGATCGGAAAATAAAGACAGATACGCACATGTAAAATTCATAGCAGAAGTTGCAATAGTGCTCGCCGATCGAAATATGGTGCCACTTGGACGAGTAACCTTTCCCGCAGCACCTGTAAAAAAAGCCGTTAGTGAAGCAACGAGCATGGTTACTGCTCGATCACTTATCGCACGCCTTCAGTACACAAACCGGGGTCACGTCCCGGCACAGAAACTTTTCGCAGTGCTTTATCGCCCTGTCCTTTGCGTCCTTTATTTCCAGCAGACCGGCACTGCCACCCGGCGATGGATGCTTAGAAGGGCTCGACGCCACGGCATCACTCTTTCGTTTCCGCCGCAACGACTGACGTCC